GCTGAGCAACAGAGAACATGTGGATGCCCTCTACAACAGGAGATTCGACCTGAAAAGTAGAGGCATCGAAAATATCTATATTTCAAAAGATCTACCCCCAGAAGAACGGGAAAAACAGCGAAAACTGCGAGAGGAATGGAACAGGAAAGGCCGTGAAACACATGTCATCTCACGTGGAAGAGTGATTGAAAGGAAGGGAAACAGACAAGCAAAGTAAGAAAGAAAGAAGAAAGCTGCCATACCCGAGACAAGGATACCCAGCAGAAAATTCTAACCTGTCATCTTTTAAATATTCAAGGACTGACGAATGCTAAGCAGATGGAGCTTCAGGACCTTGTCTGCCAGCAAGGAGTGTTACTTTGTCTGACAGAGACTCAACAAAAGTACGACAAAGTTGACTGGTCAGAAGATATCTGTAAAATGGAAAGAAGGAGAAACATGAATGAGAAAAAAGGAGGTGGCCTCCTCATAGCATTTAAAAAGAGGAATTGGATTTCAATCCAGCAGCTAGAAACTATAAGTCAAGACATACTGCATGCGATGGTGAAAGTGTGCGACATCATAGTGCATGTTGTACTAGTCTATTTCTCCATACCAAAGTCTAGTGAGGATAAAGCGAGAAACACCATTATGCGAAAGGAAATAGAATCAATAATAGACAAGACAGAAGAGAGTGGTGAAGCTACTATGGTGCTGGGAGATTTTAATGGGCATATTGACATGCTAGGACAACAAAAGGAAGATGAAAATGGCCGTATAGTCCTTGAATGGATAAACAACTACAATATGCAACTTTTAAACCTAGATCCTGCTTGCAGGGGCAAATACACATGGTCAAGAAATGAGCAGAAAAGTGCTATTGACTTTGTTCTTGTAAACAAAAAGTGTTACAGCTATTATCAAGATATGAATATTGATGAAGAACAATCAGTCACAGACATATCAGACCACAACATCATAACAGTGACACTGAAGGTCAATAAAGCAAATGTAAACTATAGAAAAAGCAAAATCACAACCAGAGAATACATGAAAACTGATGAGAAGTCACTACAAAAGTTCTTAGCTGAAATGAACAAACAGTTGCTGATTAAGCAAATAAAAAGATTTGAGGAATTGAATAAAATGATGAAGGAGGTGGCTGACAAAACTCTGAAGGCTACATACAAGAGACGAGTGCTAGATGAAGAAAGAATTAAAGAGCCTCCATGGATTACAGAAGAGATTAGAGAAGAAGTTAAAAAGAGGAAAGAACTCAATCGTAAACGGAGAAAGGCTAAGAAACAACAAGAAAGTGACGCACTGTATGAGGAATACAAACTCCAAAAACAGAAGGTGAAGCTGCTGGTGAAAAAGGCTATTACAGCATCTGAAAAGAAGATAACATACGAAATAAGAATGAACAGGAACAGAAGCAAAAAGATGTGGGAAAATATAGACAAGCTGAGAAAGAAAGAAAGAAAAGGCACTGAAACTCATCTATTTAACGAAACTGGCTCACAGCTCTCTGTCAGCGAGGAAAAGCAAGAACTGGTGAACTACTGGAGAGGAGTCTACCAACAACACGCCAATGATATGACAAAAGAATGGAGCGAAGAGGCACAAAAAACCTACAAACAAGAACTAGAACAGGCTCAGATACAGATGGACTGGAGAAAAAGTGAGGCTGACCATATAGACATGGCCTTCCATATGCCAAACACCATTGAGCCCATGGAGAAACCAGATATTGACAGCAAAACGGTGACAGAGCTGCTGAGAGGATTGAAAACCAGAACAGCACCAGGACCAGATGGTTTAAGAAACGAGCTCTACCAGCAACTTGCAAATAGCCCAGCAGGCGTGGATACCATAAAAGCATGCATCAAAGGAGAGTTGACTGCTAATAACAAGCCAGAGACCTGGAAAAGATCACTTACAAAAATGATCCCAAAGATTTCCAAACCCACGGCAAAGCAATTACGACCGATTGCTCTAACAGACGCTTCCTACAAGATATATATGAGTGTTATCAGAAACAAGATAGAAGAACACCTGAGAGTGAACAAGGAGACCATGGAAATCCAAGCTGGCTTCACAGACAAAGGGCGTGTAGAAGACAATCTTTTCCTGCTACAATACTGCGTAGAGCAATCATACAAGAGAAAGAAACCACTGATCGTAACAGCCATTGATTATGCAAAGGCCTTTGACTCAGTGAGAAGAAGCAAGGTAATAGACATAATGAAAAAGTACAAGGTCCACCCAGAGGTGATCAGTTCAGTAGTAACCATATACGGGGAAGATAGAACGATCATCAGCTTGAACAACGACAACGAACAGAGCATAGATATAACCAGCGGAATCAGACAAGGTTGCACCGGAAGTACCACTCTGTTCAAGTTGGTAACATACGAAATAGCAAAAGAGCTGATTACAACCAGAATGGGGTACAATGACCGAAACATCTACCTCCCTCTTCTGCTGTTTGCCGATGATGGCTTGCTACTCTCACAGTCCGAAAGAGAGACAGAGATGATGATTAAAGTTCTAACCCAGGCAAGTGAAAAATGTGGACTAAGAATTAACAAACAGAAAAGTGTCATACTGATTTTCCAAGAAGGAGCGCAAGAGACGCGAGAAATCGGAGGCATTCCGGTCGGAGAGCAGACGAGGTATCTTGGAGTGCAAATCGTCAACAAAAAGGACATGTTTATCGAACAGAAAAGGCAAACAATTCAAAAGGCACAGAAGCTGGCCAGTATGACATACGGAATAACGAGTAAAAGTTGTAACAAGCTAATGATCGGAAAGACATATTGGAAGAGTGTCGCACTGCCGTCAATACTGTATGGAACCAACGTAGTAACTCTTACAGAGACCGAGATCATGAAACTGCAAATAATAGAAAATGGGGTGTACCGACAAATCCTGGGGGCACCAAGATACGCACCAAACTGTACGCTTAGAGGAGAAACAGGCTCCTCCCTAATGAAATCTCGGATTTTGAAGGGACGTCTGCAGTATGTAAGAGGAGTGCTTCAAGGCCGAAACGATCTGCTTAAAAGGGTCCTGAGCATCGAAATGGAGAAAAAGACAAGTAAATGGTCAAAATCTACAGAGAAATGCCTCCAGTCCACGAAGATGTCGCTAAATGCTTTGTCAACCAAAACCAAAGAGGACGTCAACAAACTCATCAAGACCTGGGACGCCGAGCAGTGGGACCTCGAAGTCAGAGACAAAACGAGTCTGGGGATTTACAGAGCTGGCAAGAAGCGAGTGCAGGAAGACCCTATATATGACAACACTGCAGCCTCGGTCATTCTTTACAGAGCAAGAAGCAATGCACTACCACTAGGAGAAAGGAACCGTCACAAAAACGAGACGACGACATGCAGCCTCTGTGAAGAAGACGACGAGGACCTCGCCCACTTTGTACTCCACTGCAAGAAACTGACGGACAAGCGGATGAAAATTCCCCCGCTGCAGCGCCCATATAAAGAAGAAGAGCATGAGACACTGACGGAATTCCTGTTCAACATGAACCAGGATGACGAGGAGATGGAAAGAAGGAAGGAGTGGCTGTACCAACTATGGCGAACCAGACAGAAGATAATGGTCGAAAAAGCAAGGATGACAGCTGGCACACTCCTTCCTGTATCCACTCCCAGTACCCCAGACCATGCCTAGACAAACCCGAAACCCAGGGGTTCTCAAGGGGTGCCGATGCTAAGGCGATACCCCGAAGACTTCATCATCATCATCACTCGTTGGCTATTTTTCTGGCTGATATTTTTTCACGCCGGCGGATATTTTTTCGCCTGGTTGGTGAAACTCGTCGGCTGGTTTTTGACAGAAAAATTGCGCCGGGCTGCTATTTTTCTGTTGGTAAAACTGGCCTCTGTATAAGAATCAAAATGGTATCACTTGGTAGTTTCGGAAGAAAAAGCGTTGCCAATCGTCCCGTGATGAATATTGCAGAGATTTTAAGGATGTACCCTAACAATTGTACTTTCGCCCCCACTTGAAAACCGCCAAACAATGTGCCAATATATCATTGGTTTTAAAAAAAAGTTAAAAAATTGTTGTAATTCAAAACTGTATGAGACAGCGCCATCTAGTTGTAACAGTAGATCCATGATCCAACTCCTTCAGGGCAGGTTATGTCAGGGAGACACCGGTTGGTCACATGACTCGGAAACAAAAATCAGCTGATAGAGTGGCGGAATCGCCGTAATCAAACACGAATAATTCCGGACGATAGAGCGGCAGTATAGGAGTTTTCTTCACAACAGGCAAACATTGCAATGTTTTATCATTTTATGATCAAGAAACGTTCATAAACCATATATTTCTTCGATGATTACTGCCGCAACCGACGCGCACACATCGTAGCCAGCGCATAAAGCTGTGCTTTGCGATATTAAATGTAAAGAAAAACATTCTATATCTTGCTTCAACCTTCTACTTACGCTTTTATAATTACGACAGCGACACCATACGGCCTATCGACGCTATGCAACTCCATTGAGTGTCCGGCCGCACTCTTCCGAGTGTGCCGAGATCAGAGGCGGACCATCCGCGGCACGTCCAGCTGCACTGCCCGGTCGCTGGGAGGGCGACACCTAGCGCCGCTCTGGCCGCTCGCTTCCGCGCACAACTAAGCTACCTGGCTACGCCTGTGGGAGGGGAGGAGGAAAATCAACAACAGTCTGATGAGCCAATGGAGTCTGCGAGCCGCGCCAATCAGCGCCCTTCCGCGCGCAGACGGGAGCTAGAGCTATTCATCTCCTTTCCTGTTTTCGCTGGTCCGCCAGTCACCAGCACCGTTCCGTACTCTCGATCGTAGCCATTCAGCCGTGTTGTCCTATACGACAACAGTCAGCAGCCTCGGATCGCGCCAGTCGGCCGCCAGAGAATCTATATTATCTATTTGCCGTACAGCATTGCAAGCGTTACAGTGTTTGCAGCCGGGTGTAATCAGTACTTGACACATTTATGTTTTGTATCACAAAATTTAAAAATTCATTGAAATATATTCACTTTAATTTGCATACAGCTTTTGATTCTTGACGCGGATTGTTAGCCCTTGCTACATCAAACAGCCAACATCCATATTTCTGTTTCCAGAGCTGCAGTGCTGGACACCGAAAGTACATTATGTTCTAATAATTCAATCCAAAGGTGATTTCACGACAAACTTCTAGGTTCCAGAGCAAGTATTTTCTCGCCAGAAGCGCGCGATTGATTGCAGCTGGCGCGCTCACGATAACTAATATCGCGCTCGCCAAAACCTGCCGGTTACAGCCACTCACACCTTACTTCCAACCTCCGTCCCATTTATCACTTATTAGCATATCGAGACAGAATGAGACTACGACATAATCGTCAAATTACATAACACAAATTGCGGGACGTCATCGGAGAGCCCGTTAAAATACCAAACCCCAATCTCGGCCAACACCGTTGGGACGGGGCGGGGGGGGGGGGGCGGGAAGGGCTTGAAGCTGGGGGACGTATCGGCGTATCCTTCATAGACACGGGTGTTTCGCAATGCTGGAGCGCCGAGCCGAATTCGTCTCAATCGCCACACTAACACAGCAGCGCTGCGTAGCGCGCTGCAGTACGCTGCCGTGAAACAGGGCCCAGGAGTCGGATGGTCTCGGCGGCGGCGGCAGCGGTGACGGCGCTTGTCACCGTGGAGCCGTTGAACGACGCCGTCAGCTCGAGCACCGGCGACTAGTGACCTGTAACAGAGCGAGTCGCGTCACGTCACGTCGTCACCTTTCAGTCGCGACGGCCGTTATATAAACAGTTACTGAGAACATCACGTACCAGCCACGGCGACCGTCACATTACAGTCACGGTGATCATCACACAGCAGTCACGGCGACCGTCACAGGTCACGACGGTCATCAAATACCAGCCACGGCGAGTATGACTCATAGTCACAACGTCTTCTGTCGCACATTCAGTCATAATTACAGTACATTAGCCTGTGCATAAACATCTCATCCAAGAAGTACAAGCCCGATTATTACCCGCGTGGGGCTGCGGTTTGGTGGCGTGCGGCGACCGGCCCGACGGTTCAACGCCGGTGCTTACAGCGGGTCGATCCTGACCAGTTCAACTGGCAGCTCACCGACACGGACTGGACAGTAGTGATGTCAAATACGGAAAATCGGAATACCGATACCAAACCAAGTACCAACCAAAACCACGGGAAAATACCGAAACCAAACCAACTTGCGAAAATGAGGGAAATACCAACTTTTTACCGATTTCTTAGCCTCTTATACATTAGTGAGGGCTTATGATACCAACAAAATACCAAACACATTACGATTGAAATACCAAATACCAAGTTGGTATCGGTTTGGTATCGGTATACCAATTAAAGTTGGTATCCGATTGACATCTCTACTGGACAGCTGTGTTAAAGCAGCAGAGACCTACGGAGAAGTGGGAGGAATTTCGCAGGATTTTCCTATCACAACTCGACACAGTGGCACAGGCGTCCACAACTCGACACAGTGGTGACCAAGGCGCAGCTGCGCCCCCCCCCCCCCCCGGTTCACACAATTACTGACCTGGAGATAATGTGATGGTTTCTGGACAATGTGGCTTGATACTGGCCACCACACTCTGCAACTTCCTGCCAGGTGACGTCCTTCAGCTGGATCGAACCGCTGTCTTCAGAAACGCCAACAGTAACGAGCCTGTTGAAAGATAACATGCTCAGAACTAAAAAACCACAAAGCATACAATGGAAACGACTAAGCTGGCCACAGGCACGGTACACAACGGCGGTCTTTTATGCTAAGAAAGTTCCATCGCCACAAAAGATTGCAAATGGCTATGTTATAAAAAAAAAACTCAGATATCACATATCTAGTCTGATAATGGATACCTGGCGGCCTGGCCGCACGTCATGTGGATGGCAGCATGGCTTGAGCTGTGTGCTTTGGCATTTCCATGGTGAGATCGGGCCCCATGCATGGCGCTGGTGTTTCGTCTGCATGTGCATGTCTGCATCTACTGATCTGGGGTCCAGTTTCCAAGATCTCTTGAGCGTGCTGGGCTGCTAAGTTAAAAGGTATATTACACTACGCATTCACGATGGTCCACAGTGATAAAATTGTGGTAAATGGATTTTCTCCTCAGTCCTCTTATTCCAACCCTTATTTCTCACTGCCGTTTGGCTGAGGCACCTTCAGGCTTGATGCAGAACAAGAATGCCCATGTCGTGTGGCACACCTTTGATGAGCATCTGTCCCAGCCAGCATCTGTTAGCAGTGGCATGCACAGTGGCAGAGGGCTGTGCATTAGCACACCCCTCTGTCAAGCTGACTTGGCTCAGAAACTAGCAGGAGGTTGAGTGTGCATACTACGATGGGTAGCTGCTCATCTATGTGGCTCTGTGACACAGGATCAGCCTGAGAGAGAACAAAGCCAGTCAAGGCAGTAATGGGATGTTGCCAGACTGGCAAAATAGTAAGTACTATGCCACAAGTTACAAAATCAATTTAAAGTTGTGTTGGTTTGGGCTCTTTCAAGTTTTGGCCCAAAAAGACTACAGAGTTGGAGGAATGATAGGAATTAGGGGGAGCTATTGGTATGGGCAAGCACCCTGGTACAAGTCATTGGGGCTGAGCCCATCCAGTGGACAGGGCACCCAGCCCCTGATGGCTGACACTGCACCTGGCTCCGTGTATGCTCCTAGGGGAGCTTCCCACATGGGATGAAAGTGTCTGCCCAGCCCAGAACAGGGGGTTGAGGCATAGAGAAGGATTTCTGGTATTCATATAGCAGGCATCTCACATGCTGCCACCCATTTGTGAAGTCGCTAGACTCTCCAGTTCTTGAGACATTTACACAAAATTCGCTTTTAAATCTAATCAAATGCCTACCTAGTCTAACAGAACAAAACATTATCTAACCTGACCTAACCTTACCTACTAAACTACAACCTACGGTTTATGGTAAAGCTGGCGTCACCGTCAGTTGGTAGGGTGTAGGGTATAGGTTAGTATGTTAATAGCCAATAGGTAAGGTTAGGTAAGGTTAGATTGTTTTTAAATTTCAGCTTCCTTTTATCTACACATTTACTGGCTAGCGCTGAAGGTGACTCCAGCTTTATTGACACCCCGTCAAGTCCGTCACCAGGGTGGTGTTTCACCGGTGATAGCAGCACGCTGCTATTCTGCTGACGTCACACTTGTGGTTGTGTTGGAGCAATGTGAATGGGGCTTGTTGATGTCTCCATGGAAACCTAATTTGACACATGTAATAGCAGCGTGCTGCTATCACTATCACCGGTGAAACACCACCCAGGCCAAACTCGCACCACGCTACACTAAATCTGCGCTGCACCAAGCCAAATCCGCAACGCACCAAACCCACACCAGATGAACAACCCCACGATGACAACATCTCGTCGAAATTGCCATGCTTCGTCAACTGGCCGTTGGGGTAGAGCAGACTACATACTTGGTAGGATAATTACCACAACCACAAGACAAATCAAACAAAACATCAACTACCTTTGGCCTTGGCCTAGTTACCTTTTACCTATTTTGATTTGAATCTCAACTGAACCACAGAATTCAGAAAAGGATCTAAAACACAAAATCACCGAGCCTGGTGCTCCCACAGGCAAAATCTCAGGAAAAAAGTAAATTTTAAAAACAAGGTACCAAACCAACACCTACCTTCCATTATTTATAGTCACAGTGCCTTTCATCTTTACCTAACAAAATCAAATCAAATAACAGACCCCATTATAGAGTTCAGTGTAACAGACAAAACAAATAACATAACCGATGACAAAATACAAATTAAAACAAAGGTGTTCTCCATCAGCAAACGAAATGCCGTTCAACCAATCGAATGCAAAGACATGCGTCTGCTAGCGACAGAGGTATATTAGCAGCATTTACAGTACAGTGGACAAAGCACAACTGAGGGTGGTCTGCGGTTTTCAATACCGAAATTCGTAAACTTCCCAAGTTCATCTTGTTTTATGACCCATATCAAAAGATAGAGAATTCTTTTATGTTAATTATTAAGCTTGAACCAGACACCGACATTGTCTTGTTTTTTAGTAATATTCCATTAATTGTCATAGTGTTACCTTCAGCAGAATGGAAGATCATTCATTCTAGACCAAAAAATATACCTTACATCTTCGAAACTGCAATGAGATATGCAGACTTTTAAAGGAAATTGAATTCTCATTTTGATATAGACGTTTTAAGAGCATATGCCTAACAAGTTTACCAAATAGAGATGTTTTTGTTCAGGAGTAATCAGTTCCAAAAAATATAAGATCGAGATTCGTAAATACATTTCTAAAATTTCCCAAGATCATAGCGCTTCAACATTTTGATAGGTAGTAGCGTTAACAATTTTGTAAATTTTGGTAAATGTTTTAGACACCGACATAGTCTAGTTTTGGAAAAATATTACATTTAGTGGAACAGGGTGACCAAGGACAACAATGGCGGTGGTGCATTCAACATCAACTAAATGCAGTTTCCAACGCTTAAAAAGCAACAAAACTGACATAATCTGAAAGAAAAATTAACTTTTATATTTATTGACCATGATTGAAGCCCCACATCACTGAAATTACTCGACAATTCAGGGTAGAGCATTGGCAGGTCCGGTAGGCTGAACAGCTCAGAACCATGATAATTTCGAAATTGAATGAAAGAGTGTCGGCCTTTGATATTACTTTTTGTCCTTCAATTTTAATTTTTGATTGTGAAAAATTAATTTGGTCCATGAGCAATCTTTGCGTTTTAAGATATATAATTTTTGAAATGGCGGGGATAGCCAACAATTTATTTTCGTTAATGCTTCACAGGTTCATACATGGCGTGCTCTGTGATCATAAATCAAAAATATATATACAAATCATAAAACTCATCGAAATTTGTTGCTTAGTTCTCTTTTTTAGACTTGAAAGGTCAGCTGAAAATAGTGGTCAAAATACCTTAGTGTTGTAATTTCGAACCGGTTTTACCTAGTTCTCTATATACCGTGGGTTATGTAAAGGTTCGCCATCCACGGATACGCGTTTACGATACCTCGAGTAGTTCCAACTCTTTCAGTGAGGGCTGTGCCAATGACTCGACACCCGCGGGGACAATATCCGTTGCTGGGTAGCTACCTTACTGCAGACTGTGGGTACAGTGCATATTTACGAGTACTAAGGCAGGCAAGTCTGCTTACCCTCTAGCTAGAATCTGGACATGGCGAGTTAATACACATATACCACCCGCAGAGCAACGCGTAATTCGCCAGCTTCGGGTGAAATTGTTTTCAGTGTATGTCATGCGTCGTCCATGCCGATTGCCGACCGCTCCGCCGGGTCGAGGTCAGGGCGACTTCAGACCTGGATACTGTGGATAGCCGGGTCACAATCGGTCCATCCACTCTGCTGACGCGAGTTGCAGAGTGTGCGAGCTGCCTGCACTATTTGTGCAAGCTCAGTCAAGCTTGTAGCAACTTGCCAAGTGCCGCGCTCTTGACCCACATTTATCCACGTCAATACAATTGTGGAAAATGGATATTACAATTTACAATAACTAGAGGTACAGGTTTACGCGATAACTGTATGTTTTGATTTATGTTATGTTACGGGTGCATTAGTTTGGGTGATTGACTTGTATTTTAAGATGTATTATTTGGATAGATTTGGGTAGATGTTTTTAATTAAACTGTAAGGGTTGGTGATAGGTGCGGGGTGTTCAAGTGTTTTGTATGGTAGTACCCTACCCTACCCTACCCTACCCTACCCCTACCCTACCCTACCCTACCCTACCCTACCCTAACCTACTCTACACTACCCTACACTACCCTACCCTACCCTACACTACCCTACCCTACCCTACACTACCCTACCCTACCCTACCCTACCCTACACTACCCTACCCCTACCCCTACACTACCCTACCCTACCCTAACCTACACTACCCTACCCTACCCTACCCTACCCTACCCTACAATTCCCTACCCTACCCTACCCTACCCTACCCTACCCTACAATCCCCTACCCTACCCTACCCTTCCCTACCCCTACACTACCCTACCCTACCCCTACACTACCCTACCCTACCCCTACACTACCCTACCCTACCCTACCCCTACCCTACCCTACCCTACCCTACCCTACCCTACTCCTATACACTAACCTATACCCTACCCTACCCTACCCTACCCCTACCCCTAACCTACCCTACCAACCCTACCCTACCCCTACCCTACCCTACCCCTACCCTACCCTACTCTTACACTAACCTACCCTACCCTACCCTACCCTACCCTACCCTACCCTACCCTACCCCTACACTACCCTACCCTTACCCTACCCTACTCTACCCTACCCTACACTACCCTACCCTACCCTACCCTACTCCTATACACTAACCTATACCCTACCCTACCCTACCCCTACCCTACCCCTACCCCTAACCTACCCTACCATACCCTACCCTACCCTACCCTACCCTACCCTACCCTGCCCTACCCTACCCTACCCTACCCTACCCCTACACTATCCTAACCTACCCTACCCTACCCTACCCTACCCTACCCCTACCCCTACCCTACCCTACCCTACTCTACCCTTACACTACCCTACCCTACCCTACCCTACCCTACTACTACCCCTACCCTACCCTACCCTACCCTACCCTACCCTACCCTACCCTACACTACCACCGACAGTCCAAGTTTCAGCTAAATCGGCCCAGAAACGGCTGAGATATTGCAAACACAAATTTATCGTATTTACTGGCGAATCCCCTTGGCGAGGGGTGCCCGGCGCCGGTATTCGTTGTCAAAGGTCAATGACCTTCCGGCTCTGATTATTTCCAGTCAGTTTTTAAAGGATGATGAAGATGATTAGCCAGATGCTCATTATTTAGGATCAAAATTGATAGAATAGTTGTATTACGTTTCACCCACGGGGCTTCTTCGGATACATATAGGTAAATTCAACAAATAGAACACAGAGATGCAGGCCAAGCTCAGACACAAATCATGCGCATGCAATAAATATCGTGAAAGGATTAACAGATATCTTGAGATTTAGACGAATAATAATTTTAAGATCGACCCCTAAGTGCGTACTGCGCGCTATTATTTGTCTTTGTTAATAAATACGTATACCTATTTAGCAGTCGACAACACAATACGTACTACGCGAATTACGCTATCATTCCATCTCAGAATTCGTACTACGCGCACACTAATACATACACATCATTCTAAATCACAGCTAACAATGACCTATAATACCCAATCATAATCTGTGTTCGGCGGTACAGCATATCTACAGGCGCTGCCTACTGGAGCCATCTGTTAGACCCGAAAGGAACTACTGCTACTATGTAGGTATCGGTGTCATATAACGCTACCAACAGAACAAGCCAAGGAACAAGCGCTAATGTGCATATGATGATGTGTAGGGAACTGGATGGAGTAAGCGCCATGATGATGTGTTTTTGTTAAGTGCTGGTTTTTTGTTTCTTATCTCAATTGATTCAGTTATTAAAAGGTTCGCTTCGTCCTTGCATCTATGAAGAATAGAAATTTCGAAGTCAGTGTTCATCGGTTGTGCTGTGGGGTGTGCTGTCAGTATATGATCACCTAGGTCAGTACCTTTCCTTTTGTTCCTAGCGTCTCCCAAGTGTTCCATAAATCTAGTCCTCACCATGCGTCTAGTTTTCCCAATGTATGTATCTCCACACATTTTACATTTAATCTCATACACAACGTTTTTGGTATGGCATCTACCTTTGAGGCCACCCTCACACGTACTGCAAGTCTTACGACACCCCCTGGGACAATCAGGGGGTTGCAGTGCAGACGAGGTCAGTTGATTTGAGAGTGTAGGTCCGCTTTTCCACGCAACTCGAATATCCAAATCTGAGGACTTCACTGCTGCGTTGACTTTACGTGTGAGGGTTTCAAGGGAATCAAGGGAATGTGAGGGAATCAATTGAGATAAGAAACAAAAAACCAGCACTTAACAAAAACACATCATCATGGCGCTTACTCCATCCAGTTCCCTACACATCATCATATGCACATTAGCGCTTGTTCCTTGGCTTGTTCTGTTGGTAGCGTTATATGACACCGATACCTACATAGTAGCAGTAGTTCCTTTCGGGTCTAACAGATGGCTCCAGTAGGCAGCGCCTGTAGATATGCTGTACCGCCGAACACAGATTATGATTGGGTATTATAGGTCATTGTTAGCTGTGATTTAGAATGATGTGTATGTATTAGTGTGCGCGTAGTACGAATTCTGAGATGGAATGATAGCGTAATTCGCGTAGTACGTATTGTGTTGTCGACTGCTAAATAGGTATACGTATTTATTAACAAAGACAAATAATAGCGCGCAGTACGCACTTAGGGGTCGATCTTAAAATTATTATTCGTCTAAATCTCAAGATATCTGTTAATCCTTTCACGATATTTATTGCATGCGCATGATTTGTGTCTGAGCTTGGCCTGCATCTCTGTGTTCTATTTGTTGAATTTACCTATATGTATCCGAAGAAGCCCCGTGGGTGAAACGTAATACAACTATTCTATCAATTTTGATCCTAAATAATGAGCATCTGGCTAATCATCTTCATCATCATATGTAACACAATGCTCAGTACTAGCATCTCCATCCTCAAAAAAGTTTTTAAAGGGACCCTCCCACCTTAACATTAGTTTTGAGTTGAGATAGCCAAGTTTGCTGCCAGGCTCAGAAACCACCATTTATCCTGGTCGCAACCCCCGCAGCTTTATGGTGTTCAAGAAATTTCTTCCCTTTACTTGCAGGGTGGGACCAGCGTGGTCCCTATCTCTTAACCATTACGGGAATCTGATGACGTCATCAGGCTTTCGAAGGTCCGTTAAATGTTTGACTAAAACGTTTTGTAGCACGCGGTGGAATATGCTGCGTTGCGCGCAACAAATGCCGCACTTTTAAATAAAGTC